TCCTGCCGCTGCCCCTTCACGGTTCCAGCAGACACTGAGGCAGCCCATACAGACCCAAAGGCTCTTTTAAGAGCCACTACGTGCACAATAAAAAGAGCTGTAGCGCTGCTTTTAAATAGACATTTTTTTCGAAATAGGGGAGGTTTCTATTGTGTGTTTTGTTTAGGTTTTTTTTTCCTGGACTTCAGCCTTTGTTTTTATGGGTGTAGCTCTTTCTGGGGTTTTTTTGGTTTGGTTTTTTTTTCCCTTACTATTTGCTAGAGTGCCTGCGTATAAACATCCGTCTCTTATAAATCCTGCGAGGCTTTACGTTTCCTGCTGTGCAGTTAGCCGCGGTGTTTTGCTAATACTGAAAAGGAGAAACGGGCACTTTAGGAACAGTGGGTGGGGGCGGAGAAGCAAAATCGGATGGGTGTGGTGAACATACTAGTTTAATGATATCCACCAGAGAACATGAGGCACAATGGAGGTTTCTTACATCGCTGTGATTACACCGGAATCGAAACAGCTTTGAGGGAGAGGGGAAGTGGGACACGGCTGTGTCCGGGACAGACCCGGGTCCAACAGATCTGTGCCTTAAACCTCTCCGGGCTGGATGGGTCCGTTTGAAAGCAGAAACTCCCCAACAGCTCACTGGAACCGTGTGTTCCTGTTGAACCTGGCTAAGGCCGTCTGTTTTAAAGAGGACTTGCTGCCTTGCTCCGATATTTATTAACACGGGGAGGAAGAACATGTCTCAAAATGATGGATGGCCACGTTGATGAGACATTGCATGTGAGGCTTCTTTCTCACAGCACAGAAACATAGCTAAAAATGCCAAGACACTATGATTAAAAAGTACTGTACAGAGGAATAACTTTCAAGTTTGCCCACATTTGTTACTATTAAGCATAAAAAACCGTGGAAAAAAGTTTGTGTTTACTGATGGTTGTTTGGTTTTGTTGTTCTTTTTCTTTTTTTTGTTGGGGAAGGGGGCATCTTTATTAAGAGTTTTATAATAATCTTGGAGTGGAAATTGATGTATTCTTCCAATAATAACTGTACATGTATTTGTGTTTGAACTTGCACTTCTCCGAGTAGTGATCACAAACTTTTATGCAGTCAGAAAATATGCTGAGTTGTCAGATATCTGCAGTCAGATTTCTAGGATGCTTCAGAAGATACTGGCAGTATATATGTATGTAGCTTTCAACCTTCTTTATAAGGACCCAGCTTTGCTCCAATCATCACTGAGACATGCACGCAGGAGTGACCACTTTAACAAGAACCTGAGTATTAAAAAAAGGAAGTTACAAATTAGGCCTCAGATTCATATGTGAAAGAACAGTTGTGGTTTCTCTCGTTATTTTGAGAAACACCTTCCCATCTCCTTCCAGTCTGTGAAATCTCAGTTGGTACCTGGGATGTATGGGTTCTGAGGGCTGGGTGGCACTGAATGGAACCATTAGAAGGCGGAACAGTCACCTATTGCCATTAAAGGCTTCTGAGCTCCATTTCCATACTTTCTCTTAGCCATCCTTGCTGCATTATAGACACCATCTGTCAGAGACAGCACTCGGATGAGAAGAAAAGGGGCAAATACTTGCCAAGTGTAGCAATCAGCCAATATCAAGGTTTGTTTTGGGATCTCATTCCTCTGCTCCTTTTTTTTTAATTTATTTATTTTCTTCTTTTTTTTTTTTCCTCCCATATAAATCCCCACAACAATTTTGCTCATCTTCATGGCCTTATATTGCAACCAGGTTGCAACAGAAGCACACACACACACTCTCTCTCTCACGTCTTTTAATCCAATGGTGATTTTTGGTCTGGGGTCTTCTAACATCAAATTTGATTCTTTCGCTGTGTCCAGGCAGGCAGGCTCTTACCTCACCAATTCGCAGTTTCAGCCAAGGGTTGGAGCCTCCGTATCTTCTGGTTTACGTTCTTTATGCACCTGCCCTTGTTGGCAGAACACAGGGAACTGAAAAGTCCTGGGCTTGAGAGAAACGCTACCAAAACTTCAGTGTGACACCCAGCACTTTCCCATGATAAAAGCTTAAACAAGACTGTACTGGCTGCTAGGAAAAGTGCTGAGAATAGATTTCTCACAGGCTAAATATTTCAGCAAATGTAGCTACTAATGCTAAGTAGAGCTAAGCACACAGCGCGAATCACACCAAATTATAATCCTAAGGAATTTAGTCTACTTAAAACTTACTTATTTATGCTAAACAATTAATATGCCTCAACATAAGTGTATTGTCATGGTTTAGGCTGAATCAGCTACTGGGGATGTGGGGCACCCCAGATGGGACTGATAGATGCTCCTCTGTACCCCTTTTCAAAGAGAGAGGCAGAGGAGGGAAAAAGACTTATGAGTTTAGAAGGAACTAAATTACTTTAATGAAATATTAATAATAAAACGAAATAATGAAATATATACAAAACCATATCAAACTCCCAGGATGATGATTGCATCACCAGCTGGCACTGGACACAGTGACGGACGGGAACTGGATTTTGGATCTGGATTCAGGATGGGATCAAAGGCAGACAAACAGAGAGTCCTCCTCAGATGTCACCATTGACGAAAGAGAGCTGACCCTTTGGTCCCTCAGCTTTTATACTGAGCATGAGGCAGATGGGATGGAACATCCCATTGGTCAGTTTTGGGTCACCTGTCCTGTCCGCTCCTCCCCACAGGTTCTGCTTCTGACCCTCCAACGGGGCAAATAACCAAGTCAGCTGCCCTTGGGTGTTATAGCAATAAGTATAAGCAAGAGACTCTCTGCATACCATTCCTTGGCATCAACTATAAACATAGGTCTCTCATCACTTTGAGAGCCAACAGTTTCTGCACAATATGCTGTTAATTTCAGTAGTTAGAAGAAGCCCAGCTAAGAAGTAAAGTTACTGAACGAAATTGGTCCTGTTTTACCTCAAACCAGGACGTGTATATATAGATATAGAACATGTACATATACGTGTGTGTATGTACATTCATCCCTACATCATTATGCTTTGATTATTTCTTGTACCTGCCATGTTTTACCTCCCCTGTGGTGTTTCTGAAACACACCTTACGAAACTTCTTGCAGGATTCCCCAGATGCCACAGTCAAATACTGGAATTTTAACTTCAGACTGATTTGGTTGGTAACATCTCCTGAAGCACACTGGACAGGCCAGATCCCGTTACCCAGGGCAGAGAAAAAGATGCTGTCACAACACGGAAGCAAAACCAGAAGAAATCTGAATGTTTATTTGTGAATGCATAGAAATTATTACTTCTTTGAAGTATTAAAACAAGAGTCTGCAAGCCTCAACACAGTCAACCACAAAATTGAAGAGAGCTAAAGGCCAACTGTAATTTCCCAACAACAAAACTTTATTGAATCAGCTAAATCCTAGTAAATTTTGACCTTCTGTTCTCCCCATGTGTATCCCTCCGCCTACTCCACCTTTTTATCATCAAACACTGTACATTTGTCCTCAATTCCCAAAACCACATAAGCGTGTTTCCTATAGGTATCTCATCGGTTATGAAGCCACCCCGGCTCTGCAGCTGCTCCCTTTCCCCCAGCTGGTTTAGTCCCCAAAAAGGCCATGAAACTTTCCCCTGTGCCAGCACTCCCCATGTATTTGGAAAATGGGAGGTGGGAATTCCCAGGAACATCCACTGCGTTCTCTTTGTTCTTTTCCAAGCTCTCCTTTGTCCTCTACTCCCGACTTTCCTTAAAGACATAAAGCAAAGAAAGAAAACTGAGAATATAAATGACAGATTAATTTTTTGAATTTCCTATTTTTGTCCCTTGCTTCAGACTGACCTTCTTAGCCTTTTTGTTTTATTCATCTCATATTTGAGAAAGGTATGGCTCTCAGATATCTAATACAATACTAAGATTTTTAGAGTATATTATAGTAAGAGTGATGATAGGGTATATTTATATATTTTTTTCTATAATAAAAAGCTGTGTGAAACTTACCTTTTAATAGTAACTCAGGTTATGCCTTCCACATTTCTTGGAAGTAAAACCCTGCAGTGCTCCATAAAACCATTCCAAAATACAATACTTTACTAGAAATATACAGTCTGGAGAGGGGGAACAATTATAGTCTTTCTTTTTTTTTTTTTTTCCTAAGATCATACCTCTTGCCATGAGCATTAAATGAAAAGTATTTTTCATTTACCTTATCTGCCCGTTCCATTTGTGGTTACTTTTTCTGCAGTTGATTAGACACTTCCAAGCCCCTCACTATAACAGCATGTAGCAACCACTCATAATAAAATCAAGCCCTTTGAGATGACATCTCACAAAGGTTTACAGACATGGTTTTAGGAGGTATCTGATTGCAAAGCCCTCTTGACAAACACATACAGAGAAGCCAACTGAGAACAGAGCTGGGGAGAATGGGATAAAAACAAACTAAATGTATTAGGACTTCCAAAACAGACCAAAATACTTAGTACCTTATTATAACTTCAGGACAAAAAATTTTGTGTAAAAGTATCAAAAAAGACCGTGTCACAGCTCTCTTGTGCAACGTGGTGGCTCTTAAAAGAGCCTTTAGGATGTGGGGATGAAGGATTGTGGAGGTGGTGCCTATAGCAGGTGCCTCAGGCACGCTCGCCGCGGATGCGCCGGGCCAGCTGGATGTCCTTGGGCATGATGGTGACGCGCTTGGCGTGGATGGCGCAGAGGTTGGTGTCCTCGAAGAGCCCCACCAGGTAGGCCTCGCTCGCCTCCTGCAGCGCCATCACGGCCGAGCTCTGGAAGCGCAGGTCGGTCTTGAAGTCCTGCGCGATCTCCCGCACCAGGCGCTGGAAGGGCAGCTTGCGGATCAGCAGCTCCGTCGACTTCTGGTAGCGCCGGATCTCGCGCAGCGCCACCGTGCCGGGCCGGTACCGGTGCGGCTTCTTTCAGCCCCCC